AGATTTCCCCCAGACCCGGCATCCGTGTGGGTGACGGGTACCCATCGGGTGACACAGACCCAATTTCACTCGACGGCGCCGGCGCGGCCGCGGAAGCGGAACCAGCCATCTTGGTGGAGCGGTGGAGCTGCCGGTCACACGCAGGAGCTGCCGGCCTGGAGTGGAGTCTGCGAGTGTGTGTGGTGGGCGGGGGCGTAGGACTGGGAGAGCAAGAGGATGAGAATTGAGATTGCCTCTTATTAGTTATATATCTAGGGATTAGTAGTGTTGCTGCCTGCTAAGTCTTTTGGGCTGGGCCAAAACATATATTAGGTCAAATTATATCGGGTACATTATACCCATGGGTTAACGGGTATGGGGTGAGGGGGAATAGACCCATCCCCGCTAGACCTGATGGGGGGACTTTTTCCCCCATTAACAGATCCATGGGGCCAAATTTTAGCCATACCCGGCTCCTAATGGAGTTTTTACCCATCGGGTTTCGGGTTTCGGGGGCCCATTGCCATCCCTACTCCTATTCAAATATTACAAACAAGGAATAATAGAGATGATAACAAACCCGGTATATTTTTCCCACATTCACGGGATTTACTCAAACACTCTGTTTTTCTCTCACTGAAAAATCTAAAACTCTAGAAACTGAATGTTGTTTTGCTATTTTTTACTTCTCTATTTGGTGTGTCTATCACCTCTGACGAATGCCTCTATTTATAGGGAGGAGTGCAATGTGAATTACACTCTATTTCGACAAAAAATTGTAGCCTCCTTTTCTGTTTTCGATGATGGTGGCTAGCCACCAAATTTGACTTTTTCTTATTTTTTTTTGTTTTGCTCGTTTGCTGGACTTACATTATTCGCCGACGAACTCGGGCCTTCGGGAGAGTAGACATGGCCACGGGTCAACCGGCCCGTCGACCCGGACCGGACCCGGCCTGGTCAAACCCATTGACCACGGGTCCGGACCCGGCTCGTATTTCATCCGGGCCAATCACAGGTCGGGATTTTTTTTTACCACGACCCGACGGGCCGGGCCGGGTCAGGGTCGACACGAAAAAAATGTATGGTTTTTGAATTTTTTTTTTCCTTTTTTTATTGAGACGGGTTCAGACCCGGCC